ACAATAGCTATCAATCACTGAGTCTCACAGCATTGGCAGAACAATATCTACCAATCACTGAATCTCACAGCATTGACAGAACAATAGCTATCAATCACTGAGTCTCACAGCATTGGCAGAACAATATATATCAATCACTGAATCTCACAGCATTGGCAGAACAATAGCTATCAATCACTGAGTCTCACAGTATTGACAGAACAATATCTACCAATCACTGAGTCTCGCAGCATTGGCAGAACAATATCTACCAATCACTGAGTCTCGCAGCATTGGCAGAACAATATCTACCAATCACTGAATATCACAGCATTGGCAGACCAATATCTACCAATCACTGAGTCTCACAGCATTGACAGAACAATATCTACCAATCACTGAGTCTTAGAGCATTCACAAAACAATATCCACCAGGCTTTGAGATGATACGTATCACAATTTTAATGAAACTACATTTGCATTTTTTTGTTCAATAATATTGTGAAAGATGACGCTTTCTTTCCTTGATCTGATTTGGAAATTTCACCTACTAATTTGTTAATAGACTGAATATAAGTTTTCACTCCAATGTACTTTATCTTATTCATTCAGTTTTCCTTCCAACAATGTCAGACTTGATAAATACAGAATCATATTTTACCAGTATTAATCGACAGTGAGACAATAGAAATCTTATATATTCTTAGAACAAAGCTTAATCTATAGCAAATCGAAATGTATTTAATTTCTTCAACGACACACACATACATATGTGAAATAAGGATATTAAACAACGAGTGTCCAACATGCTATTTATTTGTTCAGTCATGTAACGCAGAGTTAAAACAGATGACAGGAACAAGTTATTAATAAGTACGTTTATTGATGGTATGAATTTATTACAAGCTAACATATGACCGCTTGCAATATTTTCAATTTGAGCTTACCTGATGGGCGGAGTGTTTACAGTCTAAGTTAAATTAACACGACTGACAAAGTAAGTACTCGGTAAGCTCACGTGAGTAATGAAGTATGTATAACCTCGCATGACTGGTGAGCTGTGTGCTACCTAAGTTCATGGAGTGTTGAAGCGTTAGATATATATGCTAAACTGACTAGTGAAACGTGTTCAACAAGCTCGAGACTGCATTTTCTGCCTTAAGGTCATGACAAAAACCTATAATAGAAATATTATTAGAAATATGCTTAAACAATAAATGTTTAATTAGGCATCATGACAAACGCTGTTTAGACGTACTAATTTAAAACAATCAAACCAAGTTTGAATAATGAGACAAATCGAAATCAAAGAATTTTTTCGGAAAGTAATCCCTTCACAATTTGAAATAATCTTGTCAAACTATGAGGTCAGGTTTTATATTTGTATAACCACGATCCTACGTGTTTTTCATTATTGACGTACTGTTAGATTATGTTAGACACTGATTAATAATTATATCAAACGAATATCAAACCATAATTGTTTTGCAAATAAAAAGAGAAGTAAGTGATAATGTAATTCTAGCTATTACCTTGAATCTAAATTGATTTATATATATATATATTTATTTATATACATATGACCAATTAAACTAACAGCGATTTTAATCTTTCTATTTTCCCCACTAAAATCTTTAGCACTAAAGTGATGATTTGACTTAAGAAGGAAAACTAAATAATAATCCTCTCTTTAGACAAATTTCGCCCCCTGGTGGTTCAGTAGAAAGTCTGAGGGCTCATAACGCTAAAAATCGGGTTTCAATACTCAAGGTGGGCAGAGCACAGATAGCCCATAGATTTGAGCTTAACAGCAAACAAAAAGATAAAAGTCCAGGGAGTCAGTTTGCTGTAAGTTTATTGATTCTCAATTTCAAATCTTAAGTCCGAAGGATGTGTTTAAATGTGAAATGATTTTACTTAGCAAACGTTGACACTATTCTACAAATAGTTTCGTTGGTGTCTAAACGCCCACCCGTTTCTCTACAGTGTGTAACTAAACTAGTTGCGTAGTTTTAAGTAGTTCCTCGATTGGATGCAATATTAGTTACGTCACGAAAACTCGCCCACTGGTTTCACATTACGAATTTAAAAAAGCTCGCGCAGTTCTAACTGTCAAGAAGTCCTAAACGACTGTCGAGTCCAAAACAGCAAATTTCAGGAACAAAGTCAATCTACAAAGCTAAAACAGGTATTTTTAAACTTTATTTCATATCGATATAATTAACTCTGGCGAATATATATTCCAAACTTTACAATAAAACTATTTATCTGTTTGTTCTTTCATTTATAAATTTTAAATAATCTGATGAATATAAATATTAAAAAAATTAATTGTCACTATCTGTTAGTTTTCATTTTTCAGACGATAAAGTTTCAATACATTTCACCACCAGGAAAGCACACTTTTCTTTTTATCATTGATAGACAGACAGTGTGGTTTTCTCATTAAGAAAAGAAAGAAAGATGATACAAAACACAATAAAGAAAACAATTCGGTGTTTTTAATTCAGTCTGCCACTTATTATCGTTTTGACTCCAATAACAAACGAAGTTTTCTCTAAAAGCCAATTTATGTGTTAAGATGTTTTATGCCCCCCCCCCAGTGGCACAGCGCTATGTCTGCGGACTTACAACGCTAAATACCGGGTTTCGATACCCGTGGTGGGCAGAGCACAGATAGTCCATTGTGTAGCTTTGTGCTTAAACTACGAACGAACGAACAAGATGTTTTATAAGTGATTCAGTGATATTGTTTGAAGTGTTATATAAGATAACGAAGTGCTTAGATGTTTTATACATGGCTCCGAATTATTGGGTGAATGGGTTATAACAGCCATGGTGGTTAGGACGCTTGACTCGCAATCTGAGAGTCGTGGGATCGAATTACTTCACTAAACATGTTCACCCGTTCAGCCATGGGGGCATTATAATGTGACGGTCAATCCCACTATTCGTTGGTTAAAGAGTAGCCCAAGAGTTGGCGGCGGGTGGTGTTGACTAGTTGCTTTCGACCAGTTCAAAACTAGGGACAATTAACGCAAATGACACTCGAATTACTTTGTGTGAAAGTCAATAAACAAGCAAAGAATAAGAGGGTCAGTTACTAGGATGCTTATGATTGAATAATTATTAATATGTGACGGTACGTGTGACATCAGTGGGCAAATAAAACTTTGACTCAAGCTACACAGTGTAACATCAGTGTCTGCTTATAAACAGTTAATTTAAACAGCCACAACAAATTCCGATACAATACCTTTGTCATTTTCTACTAGAAGGTCAACTCCTTAGACCATTCACACCGTATGCTATTTTGTCTCTTTTGTTTGTTGTTAAAGTCTTTTTCATTAGGTAGATCAGATATTTCATCACATCAAATGTCACTTTTAACCAGTGACATAAAAAAAGTTGTTGGAGCACCGACAGGGCATGCTTTTATTGCAGACAACACTTTAATCTGGTTCTTTTGTATATATGCAGAAAATACCTGTGTTTGTGGCCAAATAAATGTTCATAACTAGGATTGTGTGAAGTTTGCTTATACGCTGTAATTCTGATATTAAATCGTTCAACGAACATTTAATCAACGACACTAATTGAAGTTAACAAATAGTGTTATGTTTTCTGCACACTACTTGAAGTTAACAAATAGTGTTATGTTAACTCTATTCTTCTCTAATGCTATTTTCAATAACAGTATTGATTGAAATGTTTAATATATCTAACTTCGTTATTTTTAGTGTTTTATTTTATATTTTTATTATATAGATTATTTAGCATTGTTAGTGTAGTATATGGGTTTAGGATTAGCCTAAACCTCCTAGGCTGGCTGCACTTTGAGAGATATTGTTGATTTTACTACCGAACATGTTGTTAAGAGAGATGGTCCCCAACTGATGAAACAACGCATTTTAATCATTGTAAGCTAGGACGTAAAAAAAAGTATTTCTAATTAGCCATACTCATTACCAAATTGATTTTTATTATTTTCTTTATCTAAACAGATAGCTTGCTCTGATTGGAAGTTAATATTAGTTGCGTAAAATGTGATTACATCAAAATAAGAGTATTTTATAAACAACTAGCCAGGTTTTCCGTTCTACAAACTGAAAATATTTAATCTCACAATCTAAACGATGAACTTGATTACATACTAACAGGTGATTTCCGTTAGCTTGTTTATTATTTGTTCACCCTCTTCACACTTCGCACCACCCCTACTGCAACAAACTTATTCGTTCCTTTATAGGATCAGGCTCGACCTTGACTACTCCACTGCTTTGAACTAGAACAAGTACTACTACTTCACTTGTTTAATTTTTGACTACAGAGGTAGATATTTCTTATCACTATTATATTACTTTAGTAATAACATCTTCTTCTTCATAGGTTCGAGTTATTTTTAACAATGATATCAGCATTAATGTCAATATCACTCTGTTGCATTAGCCAGAAATACGGGTCCCCCCTTATTATCTTTCGCTAGAAACTTGACCACTTCATAAGATCAGATTAATGTTAGTGTAAGATTACCCTTCACTTGGAAAACTAGTCTCCACATCATCTTGTTACTTTTAGTTGCTACACACTCATATTTACATCATAATGTTTATTTAACGGCGAAACTGTCGTCTCTACGTCATTACCATGGGACTTTTAGTCAGGAAACTTAGTCAACCTGATCAGTAGTTTGCAAGTTAAGGAACAATGATATTGTTCAGCTTTTTCGATGTCTCGTAAACGTTAGATACCTCTGATAGACAGCTTTCCGTACAGGAATTAATGAGTTAAGTTGTATGTTTTACAGTAAAGCCACATTGAGCTATCTGCTGTGTCAACCGCGGAGAATCGAACCTCGGATTTTACTTTTGTGAGTCCGTAAACTTACCGTTGTCTCGTAAGCTAAGAAACATTGAAATTGTTAGTTTTATCGACGCCTCATATATTTGTTTCATACCTTTTGGAACCGAACACGAACCGGTGGTTAGCGTACGGAAATGGAAATCTGAGATTTCATGGTTAGAGCCCCGTTACACCAACAAAAAAAAAGGCTTGCGTCGCTCATGAGGGGTCGTGAGTGCATTATAATAGTGACGATTAAATCCCACTAGTTGGACAGCTAAGAGTAACCTATGTATCCTACTAGTTGGACTGCTAAAAGTAACTTATGTATCCTACTAGTTGGACTGCTAAGAGTAACCTATGTATCCTACTAGTTGGACTGCTAAGAGTAACCTATGTATCTCATTAGTTCGACTGCTAAGAGTAACCTATGTATCTCATTAGTTGAACTGCTAAGAGTAACCTATGTATCTCATTAGTTGAACTGCTAAGAGTAACCTATGTATCCCAGTAGTTGGACTGCTAAGAGTAACCTATGTATCTCGTTAGTTGGACTGCTAAGAGTAACCTATGCATCTCATTAGTTGGACTGCTAAGAGTAACTTATGTATCCCACTAGGTGGACTGCTAAGAGTAACCTATGTATCTCGTTAGTTGGACTGCTAAGAGTAACCTATGTATCCCACTAGTTGGACTGCTAAGAGTAACCTATGTATCCCACTAGTTGGACTGCTAAGAGTAACCTATGTATCCCACTAGTTGGACTGCTAAGAGTAACCT